ACAGTTTAGGGCCGATGGCCGGGGGGGACTAAGCCGAGAGCCGGGCCATTAATTTCAATCTGCATTCGTCTATTTTTAGGGCGCATGTAGGCATCCATCCATCCACCTGACAATGTCGAGGCTGGATGTGGATTCTGGTTACGGGGCTGGGATAACGAATTTGATGAATGTTTTCCGTTGCCCGAACAACAAACACGGGTGTTCTGGCTGGCGGACATGGAGCAAAAAGCCAGCGTGTGTGGAGTATTATCCCATCGAAGGAGCGAACAAAAAACCTATCAAAACAAACGATAATGTTGCTATCCTGACTCCCACATCCCCTGCCCCTGCCCTAACCTCCTGATGATGATGATGAGCGGAGAGGATACGGATAATAAGGACGTCGATGCCATTAGAGGACCGGGCCGGGTCGGTCTCGATGATGATGTGTTGATTGCCCCCAGATGAGCCGAGTCGATTGGTCAGTTGGTAATAAAAGCGGGCGGCGATTGCATGTGCGGATATAGAATTCAAATTAAATCACGTTTAAATGGGGGCAGTAAAGAGAAGGTTTTATGGAGTTGGCCAGATTAAAGATTCGATGACGAGGCCATCGATTTCCACATTTCAACGCTAGCCAGCGGCCCCTAATTAACGTTAATTAGTCAATTTCAATGTACTTTATATTCGAGTAAGTTTTAAGCTGTCCAGGGAGAGTCCTTTGTCAGTTTAAGCCCTGCTTTTCTGAGATTTCGCCATTCAGGACCCGCCGTTGGCCATTCATCGCAGCTCATTAGGCCGCGCAATGTGTTGCCAACATTTTCGGGGGAAAATTAAACTGGCCAACAACGGCCCGGCTCTTCGCATTCATCTTCGTTTCATTATGTGCCGTGTTCTGTGTTCTGCGCCAGATAACCCCGGCGCCTTTATTGACAAATTTATTTATTAACATTCGAGTTCATTAAACCAAGAATTTGCTACAGCGACGGCAGCTTGGCTCAAAGCTACAGCTCAGCTGGCTTTCGCACGCTTGGCTGGAAGTTTTTGGGCCAAGCGCATAAATCACTCGGCCGTCGATGGTTCCTCGTCCTCCCGTTTCCTCTGGTGGCCATTTTCCCGGACGAGGTCTATCATTTCTGGCTGCCGCCTCTCGCCAAAACAAACTTCGGCCGGCTACAAAGTAGTTTTTAAAGCTCTTGCCCAAAAAATTCTTTGTTGTCGCTCTTGGGGTCGAGGCGGGAAATGAGGGAGATTTTGGGGGAATGTTGGCGAACAACAACAGCAGTTCGCTTAATCCATAAAGATTTATTTGCCGCGCCGCAGAACAAACAGATTTCCCTCGTTTTCTCCTCGATTGGCCAAAAGTTTTTTAATTAAATCCCCGCCAAAATGGTGGATGTGTGCATAATACGAGGCATAATATGTTAAAGTTTTCCCAGATTTAAGTTGCCCTTAATAATCTAATTAAAGGAGTCCTCGTCGTCCCGTCATCCTGGATGACTCGGCCGGATTTAAGTTTACAATTTTGTAAGCGCCTGTCCCCCCGTTGGAATTTTCAATTAGTTTTTGTCCGCTTAATTGCATTTATCGTGGGGGCTTTAATAATATATTTTACACAGCAAATAGCTCTAATGAAATTGTTGTACTCGCAGCAGATTGCATTTTCTAACAAATATTTCATTAGGCCCGTGTGTCCCTGCACACTCGATTTATATTAATTTTGGAAACTCGTAATTCCCACCGAGGAAGGATTTGCCAACAGCAGTGCAGCCACTAATTGTCGCTGGCAAATATAGCGAATCGGATCCGCATTTGAATAATGTAAGGAGCAGCCAGGTGAACAGGTTGGAATCTGTAATTCTGTAATTCTGGCAGATGCGCATAATTGGACTGCCATTATTTGAGTAATGGACAAGTTCATTAGCATGCGTGGCATATTGTTGAATAAATGGCAAAATTAATGGATTCGTGTACAAGCAAACACATATGCACATTTAATTGAAGGGTTAAACACTGTATCAAGTGGCGCCCTGGCTAGCTCACATGAAGATTGATTGCAAGTTTCTAAATTTAATTAATTCTGTGCTATCTGCTCGCAAATTCGAATGGGTAAATTGTAAAGCCATAAAGCATAAGGGGTCATATGGCTTCAAAATGCATAAATAAATTAGTTTTCATGATTATCATGGCTATTATATTGCTGCAATTAAACTGATTGTTTTAGACCATAATATTTGATAATCACTTTATTTCGTAATGAATTTTCATGCAAGGCTCTTAATTAAAAATAGTTGGCGGCATTCGGGGGGGGCTTTGGAATTTGATTTAATTCGTTTCAAAGTATTTGTGACGTTTGGTATTTATTGTTTCAATAATAATTAACTACCTAACGTCTTAGATTTCTCGATTAAAATAGATTTTATGGTATGGGAATGTAAGGCTTTCATTACTAGAATCTAATTTATGTTACTGTTTAAGATATTAACTTATTTTATCAGTGTTTTGATTAATGATTTAAAATTTGTAAAGTTAAACTAATTTCCTAGGCTGCAAAGCTTGCTTAAATTAAGATACGTTTAGAGCTTTGTCCCAAGATTTCGGTTTGTGTCTTATCTAAGCCATAGCTTTGGACCAAGTGGATCTTATGTTAAGGCCAACAAAACTGTTCGAAATATCTGATATGGCTTTATGTTTGTACAAACCCAATCTATTAATTTTAATTTTTTATCTAAGCCTTCTGGCTTGCCATCATTTCAGGCCAAAAGAAAGCCACAAGGTTAACAAATTCTATTTTAATCTCTTTTTTAATCTCTGACTTTAATGAAGCTGCTCTTCTGGATATTCACTTCTAACTTTCCGCCTTATTATTATTTTTAGAATAATAAATACTGTAATTAATCATGCAGTAAAAAGGCAGAGTGGGCTTGTGCTGAGAGCCATTCAATTAGTTTAATGAGGCACAAAATAAACACCTGCAAGTCGTCGGAATGCAAATGAATTGAAAATAAAACATAAAACGGATTTAATGATTCTATTCAACTGGATAAATGCTTGCAGCGGATAAACAGCTGCAACAACATCATATTCAATCCAACTATTTAGTTTGTAAATATTTTAATTGGAGCCTTTTAATTGTTCCACGAATTTAGGCAGAGTTTGTATTAATGATAGACAAATAATTGTGGCTAAATCTATTTGTATTTGTGTAAATTCTAATTAAATACTTGGTATTTGTAAATGATTTTAAGCTTAGCTGGAATTTGAAATTTTGTGGAAATGGTTTAGAGGCTGTAAGTATGTCAAAATGTATTTATAAATTGCAGAAAAATAGATATTTGACTTAATTAACTAATAACGCATTAATATTAACTAAAAACCAGTCAGCATAATTGCAATTCGTGCAGCAGCTTCAGTGTCAATGGCCGCACGAATCGAGATATATTAGGAACCCATTTACTCCACTTGACAGCTAATGACGTGCACCACATATATGTAACTCGGTAATTCAGATGGCAAAAGTGTCAACTCAGAGGCGGCGAAATCAGATCAAAATAGGTGACCCTGGGCCAGATTTGCGATTTGTGATTTGCCCGGTGAAAGGTGGCAGCTGAAGTCCAGCTTCGAGTACGTGATGGGAGTAACCGTACTTGGCCAAATCGCCACAAGCGCCATGGCACCACCTCAAAACCGAATTGATGTTTGGGTTTTGGATTTTGGCTCTCTCTCTCTCTCTCTGGGGGTACAAGCACATAAGCGGCTTATGCAAAGTGCTCGCAGTCGCACTCGAAACCCAATCTACCACTGAAGCTGGCCAATTTAAAATCAAGTGTATCACTTGCTCGGTGGCTTGCAGGGAGCACACAAGCGTCAGTGTAAACAAAAACAGACTTGAAACCTGTTTTAGTTGGTGGTGACGCACTCGAGGGAATTTACCTGTTGAACTTCCCCGATTACCTGGATTCGCTTTGATTCCATTTTGGGGATCAACTAATTGACAGGCTGCGGTTGATGTGGCATTAGCATCGATCAAAGTTGCACTAAAATAGAAGCAAATTGACGCTCTATATTTGTGTCAATTTCTTTCAATGTTAGCCCAACCTCTATCTGCTTTTTCTGTGATTTGTTTCTAAAATTGTATCTTGCTTTTCTACAACACCTTTTTCTGTTATCTTACCTTATCTTGGGAACAAATTCAACGTAATTAAAGCGAGAGTAGGGCTGGCAAGAAGTATCAATAACTAACTACAGCCTTTTGGGAATTTATTTCTATTTATTTTGATATAAAAAAGGATTTTTTATATTTTATTTTGTTATAAGAGTCAAATTTATTCATAATAACTATTACCTATATTTTCAATCTAACATATTTCCATCAATTGAACGATTTTCCCCTCGATTCTTATCACTTATCTGGAGTTCGTTGCATCACAAGTTCACCTGTGGTCTCCATTTATTACGCCTGTCAGAGTCACTTGCTGTTAAACACCCGGCAAACACACAACACGGGCCGAGGGAAAGTTAATTAATGTATCTGTTTAAAGACAAGTGACTATCTAAATTGCCAGAGTCGACAGTGTTTGGCGTTCATTACACTTCCTCGACAGCATGCAAACGAGTTTGTTCGATAATTGAATGTACGCCGAGGTACAAGTGAATCAGTGAGCAAAAGTGAAGAGTCAACCGCCGTCAACACGGCGTATGATTAATAATAATTATCGAATATCTGCCAAGCGAAGGTGCCATCTCAGCTGGCGGTGGTGAACCGCAGAATTAGAACCTTGACACGCCTCCGCCGGCGTCACGTTTCTTGTAAGACTGCAATAAAAAATAAATAAAATACTATAGCCAATATTGGCGGGATCGGAAACATCTGAATGTCGGAATTATGCAAATCCATTGGCATCAAACTGAGAGCGGAGCGCTCAAACCTGTTGCCGCTGTCGCATTCATTTCATTTCCATTCCATTTCATATTTAGAAGTCCGCCGATCGAGATTTTAGTTTAGTTTTAATTGCGCCCGTAAGCGGTTCACTTCGTGCCCTTCAACTTTTATTCAAAATCAAATTTTTATATTTTTTAAAAAACCCCAACGGTCGACAGTTAAAAGTGCGTGAAGAGTTCCCCTGTCAGTGTGAATTAAATTCTTTCTGCAGGTAAAAAATCGGTGACATAAAAATTCAGGCAATGCATTTGCATACATTTTTTCCATTAGTAAAAACCTCAACATGAAACTTAATTAAATGTCATGAACTGAACAGTCAATAAACAAAACCATCAAATATTAACATAAAAAAACAAATGTAATAAATAATTTAATCAGCCATGTGTAAGTTTGTTCTGTGACTCGACTAAAAGATGCCCCATTAAGGTTTATTAACGAAAAACCTGAAAGTGTAAACTTGTTGTTACAGCCTTGTGTGTTTTCTGTTATTTTAAATACATGCAAAGTAAGCTTAAGAATGTGATAGGTTTATATTAAATTATTCCCCCGTAATGAGTCAACTTTAAGGAGCTTTTATCGAGCATCGCATTTCCCTTTTATTTTTCACGTCCAGATAAAGAACCCTCGTATTGTGAGGCAGAGACAATGATATGAAATTTTAATTAATTATTTCTCTTTTGTATGACGCTGTCCTGGCGATTGCCTTGGACATTAATTAACCACATTTCATTGGCGTACACATTGGCTTTCATTCCGAGTTCAATATCCGAGAAAGTTTTCCGTTGGCCGAGCTGGTTAAACATTTTCCACAAATTAAAGTCAAACCGGAGGCGAAACTTATTCTCGAACGGGAAAAAAATATATTGAACGGAAAACAGAATCAATGAAAATGGTATATGCGGATTTTATGTTAATGGAAATGCGAAAGTAAAAGGCAAATGGACATAAAAAGTAAATCTTAAGTGGATCTCCTTGGCCAGGAATCCAATTAGGCGGCGAGAAAATAAATTATGGGGCTTTAAGTGACCAAACTCTAATTACTTCTTCACTTGGTTAATTAGAAAACGATTTAAGGAAAAGTAAGTTCAAGCAAAAAGTTGAAACAAAAACGATAATGGAGGATAAGCCTTTAAAAGTTGGTCCCATTATGGATAAAGTTATTTCATTTTGTTGCAGCTTACAATCTCTGCAGTATACAAAAAAATAACTTAATAAATGTGATTAATTAAAAAATATAAAGCTGCATTAGCCCGCTTTAAATAATGCTAGGGCTTTGCGAGTCGTTGCTTCTTTTGTCGGGGAAACTTATTAAAATGCGCAGCCATAGAGGGAAATATTGCGTCCGGAAAAAAACACTAGCACACATGTTGCAGGGGCGTAAGAGGGAGGGTCAGAGGGATGGTTCTGGGCTGCCAGACACTGTGGCCTCTCCCTGCCAAGTCAGGGCTTTCAGCGGGCAGTAGCATGTGCCAGATATTTATATGTTACGCTTTTGTGTATTAAATAAATTATGGTGAGTGAAACTGTCACTGGGACGCGGCGGCAGCAGTGGAGCACAAATTGCATTTGCAAACTAGATGGAGTCGTAATGTCGTGTTTAGCCTGCTGTTCAGCGAGTCGTGAGAATGCCGGAGTTCTGGGTGCTGGAAATCGTAGAGTAAATTGCATCATCAAATGCCGGCAAGGGCGGCACTTCCCACACTTTTGGATTTGCATGCCGTTCATGTCGATCGCTGCTGCATATTTTACCATTAATCCCGAATCGAATCGAACGGAATCGTAGGGTGGCCTGAGCCGGGCTAGAACTTGCATTGGCTCATTTATAACCATTACTTGTGGTGTCTGCTTATTGGCATTTGGTTTTTGCCGGAGCCAACTTCATTATTAATTGGAATTTTCCTTGGGGAAATGAGAGGAAATGGCATCGAGATTAGCTGGGATTTCTGCACGCAAAGGGGCGTAATCAATTGCACATAATGTAGTTATTTCCGCGCTCTTAAAGTTTGCCTAAGCGAAACTATAAAGTTTCTGCCATAAATATGCATTCAAACGTGACCTTGAGCTGGCAAGCTTTAATCCCTTCTAAAATGGAATCATTTCTTTTTGTGTTTTTAATTTATTTTATATAACAAAGGTGAAACGAAGGTAAGCTTCAAAGAATTATGGTTCATGTCATGCAAATTGGACTCTTTCAAAGGAGTGTCAAAACGACAAAAATTAGGAAGCACATCCATTCAAATTTTAACGATGTGAAAAAGCAAAGCCATAGCTTAAATCCGTTTTGATTGTGAATGCCGAGATGTAGCCCCAAGCGCTTTGCCTTCTTCATTCATGCTTCAAAATGTAGTGAAAAGTGCTCTTACTTGCGACTAAAAGTCTGCCATTCAATCTGCATAGCCGGCCAAAGAAACGAACTATTTACACTCGATTACAAAGTTAAGCACATGCCCTCGAACACAACAGGCGGAAAAGTGGAAAATCGAGTACATCAACAAGTGCACACACACACATATACAGTTATGAAGGGCTGAAAGCGCATGGAAAACGAGAAACGGAAACGCACTACCTTGCATCTCTCTTGGTGAGTGCCAAAGCGGAAACGGGCGTTAAACGGGGCGGCAGAGCGGAAATGAGCGGCAAACTCGACGTCCCAAGAGCTCTGCCAATGGAAAGTGAATAAATATTTAAAGATTGCAAAGTCAGCTTCCTCTGAAAGGGCGGCCTGTCACCAGATGACATTTAGCCGCACCTGAAAGTTATTGGCCACACCACCTGTGCGTGTGTGCGGTGTGTGTGTGTGCCCACTTCATTTCCGTTTCCATGCACTTGAGCCTTGGCTTCATCTTCAGCTGTGCAGTTATGAGTGCAGTTTCTCCTCCTCCGCCCTTGGTCCTTGTGGTTTTTACATTGTTGCTTCTGCCTCTGCTTGGCTGTAAAGCGTGTGAAAATTAGTTGCGAGCTTGGAGGGCATCCCAAACTTTCAACCCGCCGCATAGATGTGGCTGACATTGTTGCAACGCATCTGCTTCGGCGAGTGAAAAGTTATGCAATAACAACAGGAGCCCACACATAAGCATTAAAAATTGGTTGAAATTAGGTTTGTTTTTGAGTTAAAAGAAGAAACCTATGGGGTTCTAAAAATTATCATATATTTAAAGTTCTTGCATTGATGGAATATAGGATTGAATATAGTAAATAACTGAAAAATTAGTTTGTTAATCATTTCTCCCCGTGTAACATCCTTTCTAGCATCTTCCAAGGCATCGTAAAATGGAAAATTTGCCAATTATAAGACGCATATTTATTTCCCATCTCTTCCAGTGTCCCGTCTAAATTTCTCGTTTATCTCATTGAGTTGACCCAATCAATCAACCTGATGGATGCTTCAATATCCTTATCAACAGGATGTCAGCTACAGTGCAGCCTCTAACATAGCCGCTCTCTTAAGCTGTTAACAAGTGTCTCCAATAGCAGAGGGAAATTTTAACAGAGGCAAATCACAGCGCACGACAGCCAATGTTAAGGCATTAAAATGAAAGTAGAAATGATCTGATTGAACAGGGTCGTATATATATGTATACAATGTGTGTATACGGGGGGGCAGGAGGCGACTCCGCTGTTATTATTGTCATTTTTATTGGCCCCGAACTTCCGCTGGAGTAATGAAAACGTTTACGTTTGCATTACGCGCGCTGTGCTTATTTTTATATGGGCCCCGGCACCGAATTTTAGGCCAAACTTTTGACGCACTCGTCCGCATAAAGGCCGGCGTCGCGTCTAAGGAACTGTGGCACCGGAAGCGGCAGTGGCAGACGGCGGTAGTAAGGATTCGGCGGCATAAAATACCCGCACTTATTGGCCCTGATTACGTTATGAATTTACGAGGGAAGATGGCTCACTGAATTGATTTCTGTCTGCCTGTCGGCGGTAAAAGTGTGGATTCAATTCCAGTTTAAAGCTGTTTTACATCATCAGCGATCATCTGGAGGCTGGCTTATGGCCCATTCCGCACTCTATTGTTCTGATTTTGGCCTGAATTTTATTCACTGCCAAAACTTTGCCATCCTTTTCAGGTAGAGGATATTTATTGTTCTGCCTACAGACTCCACTACATTACCCACACATTCCGCAGTATTTCTAAATTTAATATTTTGTTCTGCGAATCCTAGCTAAAATTTGGCAGGACGAACCATAAAATAAGCTCTCTCTCTCTCCTGCTTGGCCATAAAAATATATTTCCTGCCCTAGGGTACTCCAAATTTATGTATCTTCAGCGGAACCCCGGCATTAATACTGTATTTCATTTTTGGAATCGAGCAATATATGGTTGTACCTCGCAGGGAGGTTTTTCATTTCATTTACCGATGCTGCTTTGTTGCATTCGGAGCATCCTGCTCAAAGGATGCAGGAAAGTCATGCATCCGTGTATTGTTAACCCCTTTGCCAGGCGCCATAAAGGCCAGGTGCTGTGCTGTCAAAGCCATTGTTTCCTAGCAGGACAATCAAATAGTTTACGACAGCTTTGATTCAAAGCACAGCCTGCAGCCTGATCTGCCATTCGTCAATGCAATTGTTCCCGCGGTCTTTTGTCGCCTTTGGTTTCAGTTTTATGGCGCTGATTTGATTTGGTTTAGTCCTAAACCATAACCCTATGATTCGATTTTCGTATATTGAAGGGAAGAGTGGCCATGGAAGTGTTCAGAAAAGCTAGGACTTTCCTCAAAATTGAATAAAAGTCTGCTATGTAGGCACCTCTTTCAAGGGAATACTATGGACTTGTTCCCCTGAAATACATATATTTACTACAGCAACCTTTGCTTAGAAGTTTTTAAAATAAAACCATCATTAAAGGTTAATCTATCATCAGGAATATAAAACATGATTTTCACAGGAAGTCAAGGCACAACAAATTCGAAAATTGCCTCCTGCGGTTAGATGATTTTTCCCCTTGAATCCAGGAAATATACAACCGACACTCATTTGCACTTTTCGGCCGGCTTGCTGCCTAATTAACAGGGAAAACTCCAGACTCGCCGCTACATAATTGATCTAAAGTTAATTGCGGGACATTAGGCCCTAACGGAGGCCAACAACATGTGCGGCTAAGTGCCAAGTTATTCCGGCCAGGCTTTGCTCCTGCATTTCGCACTCAAATTCGGATTCTGTCGAATTTATTTGCTGTGTGTCAGCGCCATAAGTCAATCTTTTTGTTTGGCCCACATACGAGTGCTGCCTTCAGGCCCCTCCTTTTTTTTTTTTTTTTGCGGGCAGTGATTGATTAGTTTGTGTGGGCGAAAGGGAAAGGACCAAAGGTGTTGCCAAGGCTGCTGCTCCTTTTTTGTGTAAACAAGAACCTCAACATGTGCCGGAGTCGATTTATCAAATCTAAACAAATGTAAAACAAAGTTGAGGGAATACAAATTGAAGTTTTGAATGGGAGATTTATGGGCTAGCATCTATCCGAATCCCATCTAAATAATTCCGCAACACTTTTCCAGTTTTCCAACTGACAGAGTACTTTGCCGACTGCCTGCCTGTCTGTCTGTCTCTCAGTCATCTGCGGGGCAATAATTTAACTAAATTACTGGTCAACCACATAAAGCTGAATTCAAGCCTCGCCGGGAATCGTTGTGTTATCAGGCCCAGCCCAGTGGACTCTGTTTGGGCATTTTATGTAAAGCCGGAATGCTCTTTAACGAGCCATCGTCATGTCCCGATGTCCTGGAGCCCTGCTCCTTGGAGTGTGGAGTGTGAAAGGGGACCAGCGGCTGTGTTGTGCATAAAAAACAAATGGCCGGCCATTTCGGTAGCGCCCATTTTGATGATTATGCCAGATTTTCATTTAGATGATGAACGATGATGCTCCTCGTTGACCCATCCACTGGTTTGGGTGTTCTATTGAAGCTCCTACGGCAGAAACACCTCCTTCCTGGTAGCCTTTGAGCTGCTGTCCATTTTAATGGCTTTAAAACTCCCATACATTTCCCTGTCTGTTTTCCAGTTGATAAAAACCATTTGAAGGCCTGCATATGTGACGCTCCTCTGGCTGGAATTTGATTAATGTTGAGCTACAATACCCATTTGCTAGTTGCCACTTGCCACTTGCAACTGGCCACTCGCCACTCGCCAATTATGCAAGCATGCCACAAGGCTTACTGCCTCTCGGCCCACACTGCGTATGAGGAATGTGCAGAGTCTGACAGGCAGGAGTGGGCCTTTAAAGCCTATTTGGAGCCACAAATCGAACGGAAAGCCCATTAAAATCGGTGGTTGGGCTAATGAGGAACTCAACTTTTGGGCAATTAATTCGGTCACGCTCCGCGAGGCGCCGCCAGGTGTACAAAATCAATTTCCACTTGAGGCCCCCAGGCCAAGGGTGAACATTTCAATCGGTTTGTGTACAGCCAGCGATTTACATTAAATCAAGACAAGGACAAAGACAAAGACAAGTCCTGGAAAGGGATAAGGGTAAGGGTGAAGGGGAAGCCGGTGTGAAGCCACTCAGAAGTTGGCAAACAGACCTTTAACTTTGTATCAAAGGTGTAAAATTTCATAAAGTGTCGCTGCGGCACGGCCCAAAATCAAATGCAAACAGAGTCGCAGAATCGTTTTACGCCGATTTTGGGGCGTAGACGGGCATAAATTGTGGCTGCCAGACGGAGTTCGTGCTGTGAGGCGGCCCAAAGGATTATGAGTTTCCCCCAGTGTCCTTGAGGATGCGTGTGTGTGTGTGTGTGCGTTAGTGTTTGGGGAGGCGTGGCAGCACGAGCAGGCTTATTGCCCAAAAAACGAGACCCAAAGCCCCGAATATGTATGGCCAAGACAGGGGAAGCGATATGAATAACTTAAAGCTGATCCTGTGAAGTTGAGAGAGCATCCCGAGCCACAGGGGGCCCTTGTACAAGGACTAGACTTTCAACTCGAATGGGTTAGACATTGCCATAAAAGTGCTGAGTTCGAAATCGGTGCCAGGCCTTCATCGGTAAGTAAGCCAGGTTTTCAGCTGCAGCCTACAGAATGCAATTTCAATTAGGCCTACCGCCCAGGCATTGTCACTAAGGACCCCTATGCAGTTTCTGGGCTAAGAGATTAAACATATCGATTGGATTTGACAGTGGCTATAAGGGGTATAGACCACGAAATACCCCTTGGTTGGATTTCACTTAAAATTTTTCACTTTTTAATGATATTTTCACTGGAAACTAGTAGATTGATTGTTTACATTTTGTGGCTCTCACTAAACTATGGCTTTAGGGGTATAATAGCACAACAAAGGCCCCTCTTTCTATTGTTTGCCATTTGAATGTCTAACTATTTTGGCCAACAGCCATCCGTAAATGGTCTGCAGTAAATGACTCAATAAGGGAATTAGGCCTGAATTTCATTGTTGGCACTACAAGCCCTCTTTTGTTATGCGAGCTATTAGGAAATCGTTGCACTACAAAGGCCACACATTCGCTTTTTTTATTGCCAATTTGTACCACAGCTAACGGCAATTATTTAAGCAAAATTACATGTAAATTTAGTAGAAAAGTCAGGAGCAGGCTATACAAATTAATAAAAAAAATAAATTAAAATGGTTAAACATGTGATAAAGACATTTATTATATTTTACAAAAAATAAATACATATAAATACTAATTTTTAAAAGCTTAAACTTTATCACATTCCCCTAAAGTTTTTAGCACAATAAAAAACTATTAAAATAAGCTCACTTTCCACAATATCATGTCGATTAAAACCATATTATTAAGATGCACCAACTGCTAATACTTTGCCTCACATTTCCCCACTTATCTTGCAAGTTTTCGGCCTTTAAAATGCCAGCCACATTGCCCACATCCGCCTACTTCCACCCACTTCCGCACACTTCATCTCGATGTTGCTAACAGAATACCAAACGAGAGAGCAATTGTTTCCTTTCCGGGCCCACTGACCCCAGAGACCCCGCCACGCAGACTCCACACTTGCCACAGCGCGCAGACCGAACATGGTTTACCCGAGTGACACGTCGGACACCAACAACGAGGAGCTGGCACTGGAGCACAGTGTTGCACATGGCGGCATCAATGGCAATGGAACCGCCGCCGGACCCGGACCCGGAGCAGGAGCTATTGGGCCAAATGGCGACAACAAAGTCAATCAGCGCCAATATGAGCCGCGAGAACGCTTCATTATCACCAAAAACGTGGTCGTGATAGGCCTGGCCTTCATGATACATTTTACGGCCTTCCACGGCACGTCGAATCTGCAGAGCTCGGTGAATGCGGACAAGGCCCTGGGCACAACCACCCTGGCGGTCATCTACGGTTCCCTCATCCTGTCCAACATTTTCCTGCCCATGACCGTGATTAGGTGAGTGTTCAACTGAGTTTTCTCTTAGGTTTTGGGAGCCGGAAAATAGCTGACACTGAACAGTGTCAAAGTTTTTCGATAAAGGAAGGGTTTGAAGGACTTTTCCTAGAACTTTTAGGCATATAGGAAGGGGGTTTCTCAGAGATATTTAAGTGAGTTCATTAAGACAGTGGCTAGTGAGATGCAATTTTGTTACAAGAGTGCAATATAAAGAGCACCAAGCGTATAAAAGGCAGGGGGAGGAGAATCCAATCATCAAATTACTGCCAAAAAGCTGTCTACAATTTAACGCCGTTCCAATGAATGCTTTATTGACTTGGTTTAAAAATTTCAGGGTATTGTCAAAAACTTATTTTACTTCTGCTAGCTAAAATTATATATAAAAAGTCTCACTCTCACTTTTTGTATCCCCCACGAAATCCCCATTAAAAACGAGAGAAACTTTTAGGCCATTGCACAGTGGTCGAGCTTGTATGGAACAGCGGCCATAAATACTTCTAGATGTGCTATCGCTATGAAATTTTCACCAAAAATCTAGAAAAATGTTTTAAGTATATCCACAAAAAATTGGCCATATTGCTCGTCTATATCATATAGCTGCCATAGGAACAATCTGTTAAAAATCAAAATTTAGTATGAAAAACTTTTTTGTTTCTCAAAATATCTTAACCAATTTTACAGATTATATGTTTGGTACAGGTTTATGCATTTTTACCAAATTTGGTTAAAATCGGATCACTATATCTTATAGCTCCCATACAACATTTTTATAAAATTATTTTTTTCCAAGACCTAACTTTAAATTTTTAATTTTTGATCACTTAATGAGAACGTTGGTGAAATATAAGTGCCCAAAAGTAAAAAAAAAATTATTAACTTATATATTGTGTATTTAATTTGTCCAGCAACAAACGTACACAGCTTAATGGGGGGTAAGGTTAATTCGGTGCAAAACTGCCTACTTTTCAAAAAAATGTTGTGACGAAACGGCTAAAATTAGCGTATTGAATTAAATACCATATAATAACACAACATTTCAATAATTTTTTGTTAATTTTTGTATTAAAAAATATTTACATGCTTACGAGTAACTGCGAATCTCCTAAGTCCCCACAAAAAAAGGTTGTTCTCGGTGTATATCCTATTCTAACTGTCCACAAAATCATCCGATATCCAAAAAATGTATTGCATTCACTAAAGTATAAGTGCCCCGAGGTACTCAGGTGACGTTTTTATTTTTAACATTTTTTTCCGATTTTTTATCACAACCCGGATTTTTGGCTAAAAAATTAGGGTAATTTGTTTTGTAATGGCAAATGTGCAGCCGCAGGTAGCCGCAGCTGAAGTAAACATTTTTATAATCTGTAAATATCAGTTAATAACGACACATAAATTTCATTTGGGGGCAACGGGGGGAAAATAGTTAAAACTTTAAGTAAACACAACATATACGAACTAAAAAGACGCACTTTTTTAACAAAGATTTACACGAAACACAACACAAATTATATATATATTTTTTTGTAAAAATAAAGTATATACCTTTATCTACTATATTCAGTCCAATTGATTTTGGTTTAACAGCGTTTTATATTATATTTTAAGTTTTTAAATTTGGTCTGTGCACACCACTGCTGACAAATTAAAAGTCCATGAATATAAGTACGCTTTTGTCAATCTATTTTCAGAAAGTCCCGTTGAAATTCCAAGCAGACCTTATTGCATGGTAAAATTTGGACAATTAGCTGATAGAAAAACCAGGTTTCGCTCGAATAGCTCAAAATCATTTTTTTTATTTTTGTCCTATTGGCCCGACCACTGTGCATTGGGGAAATCCTGGCAGAAATATTGTTTTTAAAGAGAAAATAATGACAGCTATTTGAGCTGTCAAGCAAAACAACTTGCAGCAAACAAGATGGATAGCTCCGAAAATAATGGCAACCGCTCTCGAGTGCTGCCTCTCAGCTTAATTGCCAATTTTTGTTTCATAGCTCGGGCTTTGTCTCGCGAGAGGGTGAAGCTGCCGGCGTAGACGTGTGGCATGCCATAAAAGTTTCGGTGATTGTCTGGCGGCGTTTTTTATGTGGGTTTTATGCAGATGTGACAACATGCCGAAAGCGCAGTCAGCATGGGCGACGACGCCCCCAGGAAAGAGAGAGTGTAACTTCGAGCGCATTTGGCTGTAAAAATGTCAACAGGAAGTCCTTGGATTAGAGTCCCTTTTCCCGCCATCCTGCTGCCTTTCGGCCAAAGCTATCCCTATTCCCAATTCGGGGGCGGTCTCCCTCTGACATTTAAACAAATCGCTAATTTATAGCGACGGCGCCGCTTCACTTGGCTTATTCCAGGCACGAACTGCTGGCGCAGGCAACTTTAATCAGTTAACTCGATTTATTTAGATTTATGGCCTTGGGCCCCGAAATAAATGACCGCCTGCTAAGCATGTGCCACTTGCCACTGCCACTTACCCACCTCTCCACCCTCTATTTCCACTGTTTTGTTGTCCATCAACAGTTGGTTTGGCTGCCGGCTGACCATGGCTTTGGCCCTGTTCGCCTACATGCCCTACATCGCCGCCCAGTTTTATCCCCGCTTCGAGACCCTGATCCCGGCTGCCCTCATGGTGGGCTTTGGCGGCGGCCCGCTGTGGTGCTCCAAGTGCACATACCTCTCCACTGTGTCCGAGGCCCTCACCCAGGTGCGGGGCAACAGGTCGCGCAAGGATGTCAACACTGTGCGGTTCTTTGGGCTGTTCTTCATCTTCTACCAGATGGCCCAGGTGTGGGGCAACCTGATCTCCTCCTCGGTGCTCACGCTGAGTGCTCCGGCCAGTCAGTCGCCGGCGAATGAGAGCCTGAATCTGGAGCTGGAGAGGAGCAGGGTGGCCGAGCTGTGCGGGGCCCGCTTCTGTCCGGGAGTGAGTGCCGAGGCTAATCCCAACCTAGTGCCTCCGGCTCCCGAGCAGATCCAGCTGCTCAACTCCATTTTCTTGGCCTGCATGGCGGTGGCCGTAATCCTGATGATCTTCGGTGTGAGTTCGCTTAAGCGGTGAGTCAATCCGGAAATACCCAATTTATTATCTCTTATGATCCTCCCTTAATCCTCTCCAGCTACGGCATGAAGCGCGGCGACACTGGCGATGGCATGTCCGGCCTGAAGCTGCTCACGGTGACCATTAATCTGCTGAGGAAGCGCAGGCAAATTCTGATGCTACCCATTACCATGTTCATTGGCCTGGAGGAGGCCTTCCTCGCCGTGGACTTTACCCGCTCCTTTGTGGCCTGCGGCTGGGGCATATCCCGGATTGGCTTCGCCATGATCTGCTTTGGGGTGGCAAATGCGGTGGCCGCCGGTATTGCGGGGGCTCTGGTGGAGCGCATTGGACGGGTCACCCTGGCTGGCCTGTGTGCTGTGCTCAACATCTGCCTGCTCGTGTACATGTACAGCTGGGAGGCGCGGGAAGGTGATTACCTGAGGTACTGCACCTTTGCCGCCATTTGGGGCATTTGCGATGGGGTCTGGCTGGTTGTGGTCAATGGTAAGTGAGGATTCAAGCCAGCCTAGTGGTGACTATAGCTTAAAACTCTACCGTATCTTATAGCTTTTTATGGCATTCTGTTCCCGAACCACCTGATAGCCGCTTATAGCAACTTTAGGCTGTGGGAGAGCACGGGTTCTGTGATTGGATACGTCATCAGCTCGCAGCTTTGCACTTCCACGAAATTGATGATTTTAATGGCCGTTATGCTGGTGGGCTGCGTGGGGTGAGTTTTTAATTTGAAATTTTAAATAAATAATCTATATTTTTAAATATAATTTTCCTAGATATGGCCTTATTGAGTACCGCGTTTGGCAGAAGCAAAAGAACCTGGAGGTCATGCTTAGTGACTGATAGATAGCCTAGGAGCCAAGCCGACACTTGCCATAGGTTTATATTATTAAAATTAGAATTAAAATTATCCAACAAAGTCACTGTTTCCCCTTACTTATAAATCCCAACCAGTTTTCCTCCTTGTGATATTGCCAAAATAGTAAATAAGTCTAGAGTATGCTTTAATTTTTTAAATAGTATTTTTTTATTACAATCATTTAAATATTTTTGTTCAGTTGTAGCTGTTTTGTTGCTATGTACCATTTAAATTTCGTAGTTTAAATATTGTTTCTTTTGTGTGTTCTTTTCATTCATGATTTTGTTGTCTTTTTAAATTGCTACATAAAGTTGCTTATTCTAAACACGCTGTTGCCTTGCTGTCTTTAGCATTCGCTTCTTTTGCTCTTTTTTAGTGGGGCTACCATATAGAATTTACTTAGTTTTTGAACTGGCTAATTGCTAGGATTATAATTTGTTTTATGAATGCTTGAAATCAGATTCGTTTCAGTATACAAGTTTTTAGCCAACGCATTAAATGCAAATATTTTACTCATCGCTTACGAGCTCTATGAATATTTCTTAGATCAAATTCTTTATGCAGTTTTGGTTTGAATGGTTTTAAACATTTATAATTTAATTTTGTTTTGCTTTTGGAATGGCACATCAATGTGATAAAATTTGGCCTAAAACTGCACAAGTCTGCCTTGGGGACTTTAGACTACTTTTAGGCTATTTGGGATATGATAAGTGTTAAGTAGATACTTAATGGCTACGTATTCAATTGGATTGGGCTCTTGGGTCTCGGGTTCCTGTGGTTCGCCTGGTAAGCCAATGAATGTCCTTTGTAAATGCTATGACACACAGTATTACTTTACATGGCCTAACTGCTAGATTCTAGGGTGTTTTACAACTATCACACTGTAATACACTCGCACACGGCACACACACTTAAGCACCTAGCTATGTACACTTTACGCCAGCTATTTACACGGGATCCTGGCCCTAGACCATGCCCTTGGACATCATGCGAACGGTGTTCTTGAGGGCCTGCCGCTTGTTGCAGAACCAAATCCGTATCACCTCCCGTTCGTAGCCTAGCTGGTGCGCCAGTCCAGTGATCTCGGTACCTGTTCCGAGAAAGATAAAGTTAGTTATTCCGCTCTGGATCTCTGGTTTCCTTGTAACTGAAAGTTACCACTCACCCGAAGGATGCGTATTCCGCTCAAAGTGCGCATTCAGCAGCTCCAGGGCCTGCGGTGTGAACGAAGTGCGTCGCTTGCGCTTCTTGGAGGGCTCCACGCCTATGTAGTCGGTGAGGTGGTTCTGGCCCGACTTGTAGCGATTCCAGTGGCTAAAAAAGAGAGAAAACTGCCGTTAGTAAGGTCTAACTTGACTGGGTTTAGACGTCGCGTGGAATCGCCTCCATACTCTCACCTCTCTTCGGCCTCCTTCATCCAGCGCTCCAGCACAGGCTTGATCTTCTGTGCGCTCTTTGGTGTGATGTCCAGCTTCTCGAACCTGCAGTTGGGAGTTGGTTTAGGGGATTAGAAAGGCGGCTCTCTCTCGGTGGTTATAACGCAAAAGAAACGTAACTAAAGTGCCAGGACATTGTCAATTAGCATTCATTCTCGGTTTTTTGGGTACGATCATTCTTTCATTTCATTTCGTTTCGTTTCGTTTCGGGTGAGCAGCTCTATAAACTTTGCTCATTGGCAATGCCCTGGGCCAATTCGGGGAGCGCATTCGTGCAAATTAAAGGTGAAACAAAAGAAATATATGGCGAAATGAACAGGTTAATGAGCCTTGCACTTTAGTTAGGTTTCTCTTGGACACATACACCACACACACACACCACCCACACCACACACACACACCACACACACAGCCAAACAGAGGCACACATACATGTTCTGCTGCTGCGTCGATAGTTGAGCGGCGTACATCTGCGCAGCGAGTGCACTGCTTGCGTTCGATAGTTGATTCGATATTGTTCGATAGTTCGGTGGTGGCATTCGATTTCGATTGTTGGCATTCGACATTCGATGTTGAGAGAGAGAGAGTTAGATAGAGTTGGCGTTTGAATCGAAAATAAACAAATAAAAGAAATAAAATTAATTTAGCATTTAACTTGGTTTGTTGTCTGTTTTTCGTGGTTAATTTTGTTCGTATCGTTTTCTTTTACTTTTTTCTTTTTTTTTTAGCTTTGTTGGAAAATGTCCTGGCACTCTACGAAAATTGGTTCCAGAAGTTTACGAAAAACAAATGAGGGAAACATAACATATGTGGACTTAAGCGAAAAAATATTGTTGATAAAATATAATGAAACATATTGGCTAATAGGGGAGAAGAGTATCCAATAAAGTAACCTTTCCTGAAGGTTATCTAAGTCAGCTTTGAATAAAGCTCTTCTTAGTGAAATTAACGATTTGTCTTTGTCAGTTTTAAGAGTGAATCTTCATTAACTTGAACCCTCTGTGGATTTATTTTATCTCTAACCCTCTTAGAACTTTTTGAATTTAATTACTGAACTACTTTTGTAAAGTATCTTGTATCTTTTCATCTGGCATCTTATCCCGTCCATTCATATCTCACCTGCAAATGGCACTCTGGCTGTAGGCTGGTCCCTCGGTCACCGACAACGCCTGGCCCACCTGGGTCTGGGTGAGGCCCAGCGACAGGCGGCGCAGCTTGAAGGCCTTGGCGAACTCCTTGATCTCGTCCAGATCGATACCATCCACCACATTGGTGGTGGCCTGGTTGATGGTGGGTTCATCTGAACAAAGAAAGAAACACATTCGATTAGTGGATAATCCCCTGGATGACAGCTCTAAGTACACACTTAAGTCTAACTAATAAATGTGAAAATTGGCCTGACTCCCCGGCGTAATTAACAATGAAAACGACACCGTAAATTGCTGCCCTGTCGTGGTCTTAATTACAGCTAATTGAGGTAATGGCAAAACATTATATTATGGCAGCGCGTTGCAATGCAGGTAAAGTGATAAAGCACGCGGAAGACACTTGCCGGGACAAGTTGTTCTTGTCTATTAGGCAGGTGCGAAACTCACGGCTTTTATCTGCCTAATTTGTTTTTGCCAAGGCAAGGCAAGGCAAGGATGCCGAAGGATGCAAACTACTGGCGCAGAATTTTGATTTATTTATTAATGATATGCAAGGAGGGAACGACAAGGGTCCCCGGATCCGGCAGAAGCAACTCGATGCAACGTCAGCCTTGTGCTTTGGCGGTAATTAAGATGCGAGAACGGATTGAGTTTAAAGGCAGAAGCAAAGGAAGAGGAGCCAGCGGATGTGGCAGCATCCTTCGCCGGGCCGTAACTCAAGCTGTCGTCGCAGCTCGCTGGCTTTGTTTGCCTCGGTTGTTGTTGCTGCTGCCGGCTGCCTGCTGCAGCGTTTGAAATATGTCATTAAATGCGGAAGACATCTTAAGTTTTTGTATGCATCAATTAGTAGTAATTAAGCCGCATATTGTCTGCAATTTGTATGCGCAAACGATCCGAGATGTGGCAATCGAGACTGCTGCTGCTGTTGCTGCTGCTGCTGCTCTAGGTGGCAGCCTCATCTCATCCTGATGACTCTGCTCGGAAGCTCCTCTAATGGCTGCTGCTGCTCTGGGGGGCTTTGCCTTGATTTCTTGTCGTTGGCCGGGCTTGTGCTGATTGCATTTTTAATGCATCCGAAAGTTTCAATTAAGGCCTGTCGAGCGGGGCGGAATCTAATCAATTCAAAATGCTCAAACAAGAGAGAGAGACTTCCACTCTGGGGTGCCTATAATCCGCCCTAAGCTAATCCCATCAGGTCGGATGACATGGCTCGATCCCGGGCTGCCGTCTTGGCCCCGAAACCTAATCCAATCCCGGAGCAGATGCGGAGCGTGACAACGTCAACGCCGCTGCTAATTTGCCCAACACTTTCGGTTGACATCTCTCAACTTTCGGGGGCACACACACACACACTGCATTCTGGCAAGTTTTGTTTAGCTGCTCCACCTAATCCCCAGGCCAGGCCAGGACCCCCACTGGAAGTCTGCATCAATTATGAATCCTTCGGCTGCGACTCGAGAAGTCGTGTAAATGCACGGCGAAACTTTTCGCACACACGGTGACAGACGGCGCGGAGTATATCACTCCTGGCAGGAGAGTCTACTTGTAGTTGATTTTCTTTTGGAAAATTACATAAAGTGCAGTCAAGTTGTTAGGGCTGAAACGGAGCAACAGCCGAAAAGTTGCCTTTCGCTGGAAATTTCGTTAATTAATGTTGGCCAAAAAGTTCATTCCTCGCCCTCGCCTTTGTGCACAAACACTCACACATATCACGCATACGCCGTGTTGCACACGAGTGCGGCTCTTAAAATATCAAATCATCATCAGGCCGCTGCCCGGGACCCCAATTATACATGTACATTTGCGGAAAGAGCACTCGAATTTCGGGCCTCCGGCTTATTGGGATCATTAAGCCAGCTGAAGGATGCTTAGAACAGTTTTGGGGAATTTGTGTGTGAAATTAATGCTACGCTAAGGATACTTTGGGTGCTTTAAAGTTGGAATGCAAACCGATTGAAGGGGTGCACATAATACTTTTATTTTATGTTTTTATAGAAATACACCTTCAGAGGTCAATATCCTTCGAACTTGTTCAGTTTGCACTCCCGATTTAAAGTTTTTTGTAAAAAACAGAAGAAAGAATCGATCTTTACTCACTCGGAGAGTCCATGAGCAGGTCGTTGTCGTTGTCATTGCCATTGGGCGACATGTGCGGCGGTTCGCTGCGCGACGAGGGGCTCAGCTTGAGCGGCTGCATCAGGGCTCCCGCTGAAGTGGACGGCCCAGGACCTGGCGAATCCTCGCGCGGCGAGGCTGAAGAAGCTCTCGTGGCCGTGGCCGTGGGTGCTCCCAAGGACTTGGTGATGGTTAGCTCGCCATTGGAGGCATTGAGTCTGGAATAAAATTTCTTACTAAGCAACTCCCAGCAGGATGGAATCACAATTCACTTACCTGTTGATGCTGCTAAGTACGTTGGCCGTCGCACTGGAGCCCGTCGCTGCCGATGGAGCCCCACAACTGCTGGTCGAGGTGGCCGCTCCCGAGTTGGGTCCATTGCCCAGGTAATCCCGTTCCAAACGCGGAGATCCACCCAACGAGAGGGCATGGCCCTGGGGCGAGTGCGTGCGGAACAGCGGGGATGTGTAGCCTCTGTCGCTGATGCTGTTGGCCGCCGAGCTAGAGGGCAGGGAAACCGGCGGGGAGAGTCTGCCGGTGGCCATGCTGCCCCCCAGGTGACCTCCGCCCGAGCTGGACGACACACTGGCCCGGGTGGCCGTCGCCGTGGGCGTGTGAGAGCGTCGCTCGTGTCGCTCCTGGCGATCCATACGCTCCAGTCGCTCCAGCCGCTCATGCCGATCGTGATGCTGGCTGAGATTCATGCCGCCGGACGTGGGCCTGCCCTGCGGACTGTGCTTGGGCGAGCGCATACTGTGTCCGAAGTGGTGTCGCGGCGGTGGTGCCGGCGGCGAACTGCTGGCACTCAGCTCCAGCGGTTTCAAATCCATCTGCGGGGCCGTAAGTTCATCCGGATGCCTTAGGCTGATCTGGGGCAGTGAGGAGGAAACCGTCGAGGCGGAGGACTGCGGCTGCAGGTGATGGTGCAGGTGCGTCTGCGTCTCCGGCTTGATGTGCAGCTGCTGCTGCAGCAAGAAGGCGGCTCCGGGTGGCGCCTGTGGTGGTCCCTTGACCGGCAGCCCTGGGCTGCCGCCAGTGGGCGAGCTTGCTGGCGGAGATCTCTCCGCCGAGCGCCTCAGATCGGCAGCTAGATGGGAGTGCGGCAGGTGGCCAATGCCCAGGTGCTGCTCCCGTTCCCGTTCTCTTTCTCTTTCCCTTTCCCGCTCTCGTTCTCTTTCCCTTTCCCTTTGATGCTGCTGCGCCTGTTGTTGCTGCTGTTGCTCCCGCTGTTGCTGATGCGTGGCTGCTGCGGCGGCAAAGAGCTCTGGGTGCAGCGCTGTCAAGAGCTGCTGCACGCCCGTGGAAAAGAGATTGGGCTTGAGTAAATTCGTGGGTGTCTGGGCCAGCTGAGGCAGGGCGGTGGCATGCTGCAGGGCGGCCAGGGAAGGCGGCAGCAAGTCTCTTTGCTGCTCGCGTTGCTGCTCCCGCTGCTGCTGCTGCTGCTGGTAGCTAGCGAAGGCTCCGAATGCATTGGGCAAGAACTGCTCCGAGGTGGGAATCTGCGGACTCACGGGAATAGTGAGTATGGTCTGAACAGCAATGCCTGGGAGAGGTAAGAGAAGGGAATATAATTAGTCCTTAATTCAAGCCCCTTTGACTATTTTAACTATCCTTTAAACTATCCTAAAAAACACGTATATTTTCTTCGTCTCGCGTTTATCGAAAAAGCTAAATATTTTCCCTAGTCTTAGTTGATTTTGGCAGGATTACTTCGCATCCTTTTCCCCCCACACACAAAGAGAGGAAATTGGAAGTTACCCTAATCGCTTTATGGGCTCTAATGCCCCGCGACTCCGCTAGTCTGTCAGGACTCGCTAAAAGTCAAGCCAAGTCAACTATGTTATTGATACCCCAACTATATCCATCACTCACCTTGGGCCGTGGGTATGAGCAGCTGGGCCCCCTGGACGCCCTGCACCAGCTGCCCGGAGGCCAGGATCAGCTGGGGCATCTGAGCGCTTGCCGGCGGCGCCTGAAGGCTGGGCGGGGGCGAGGCGGTGGCCGCTGCCAGGACATTGGCCAGAGTCGAGGCGCTGAGGGGATGCGGCGAACTGCTGCTGCTGGGATTATCCGGCTGCTGCTGCTGGGCGGAGCTACAGGTCCCGGAGTTCTGGCCGGAGCCCCCGGAGTTGTTGCCCGAGCTGCTGCTCCCGCTGCCGCCGCCCTTGGCCGTTTTGCTCTTGCCGCCGTTAAGGGTGGGCGAGGCGGATGTGGCTCCTCCTACTCCAGTCCCAGAGCCAGCTCCCACTCCTGCTGCAGCTGCTGCTCCAGCTCCTGTGGTCGCCGGGTCGCCGCCCACGCTGAGATTCAACGGTGAATTGAACACGGAGGCAGCTAATCCTTGAAGACTTGCCAGTGCAGCGGCCGTGGCGGGATGGTGATGATGATGCTGGTGCTGGTGCGGATGCTGGTGCCCATGATGCGGATGCGGATGCTGCTGCTGTTGCTGTTGCTGCTGCTGTAGCGTGGCCAAATTTTGTAATTTTTGCAAATTTATCATGTCTTGCACTGTGGGATTTTGAACAAGAGTCACACAAAATGTTGTCATTAGTTTTTGTTGCAAAACTCTTTGCCGAATTAGTGGTGGCAAAGGATGGGGACCAGCACTAATTGCCAGTTTACTTTGGCCGGGCTGGGTTTTCGGGTTTCTCGGGGATAAATGACTGTGTCGGTGTGTCGGCCTTCGAGGATGGAAACTCGCCGTGCAGAGAAGTCTTAGATAAATTATACAAAATTAGTCTGAGGGAATTAGAGCGTTAAGTAAATGTAAATGCAGCCAAATAAGCGCAGTCGTAAATTACACTCAGAAAGGAATGTCCTTTTAAAGTCATAGAATATCCAGAAATGGCACTCTAGATACTGTATTTTTAGACGTTTACAGGGTATTACATTTTTACAATTTTAAATAAAATTTTAATATTTAAATTTTAAAAAGGAAAGGCATATACTTCATATATCTCTGCCTAATAAAGAATATATTCCCAGTCAAAGGTCCTTCTCAAAGTTCTAATTAAACCCCCAAATCATAGTCCCAATATTTTCCTTATTATTCAAATATTTCCATCCCCGAAAGATATATATTTTCTTGCATTTGGCTTTCGATATGTACTCACTAGTTCCATTCAGATGTGCCGCAAACGCCTTGGCCTGGGCCTGCTCCTCCCGCCGCAGTCGCATCTCCTCCGCCGCCTGCTCTTCCGCCTCCGCCTCCGCCTCGCCCTCGTTTTCGTTCTCATCCTCATCACCATCGATCTGCATGGGTATTGGCAGAGGCATGGGCAAGGGCGGTGAGGAGTGCTGGTTGGCCAGAGAGGCGGCCTTGGCTGCCAGGTTCTTGTAGAACTCCAGCTCCTTGACATGATCCTTGCTGTCGAACGGCGAGGGCGAGTGGGAGTGGTTGGCGGGCGGGGGTGAGAGCAGGATCTCCATGTCATCATCGTGGTGATTGCTGCGACTGTTGTGACTGTGACTGTGGCTGTGACTGTGATGGCGGTGATGTTGTTGCAGGCTATGGACTTGGCTGCTGCTGCTGGGCGAGTGGATCTTGTGGCAGCTGATTTCCTTGTCAAAGTCCTGGAAAGAAGGAGAGATTTTTATAAGTTTTATATTGCCAAGAACTTGGGTTTTGTTTCTGAATAAATTTCCCATTAATTAACTGAGCAACTGCATGTATTTAATATATTTTATATATGTAACAATTTAGCTTTTATGATTAGCAACTAAAAGTACATCCCATGAGTTTCATATAAGATCTTCAATATATCATTGTCTGTGCTGAATTGAATTATATTTTTGCCATTAATGCCTTGTCAATTGTCCGGCTGAAATATCCTCCTACCCGCCAGGCTAATGACGAGTCCTGAATCCCCGTTCATTGTTTGCTGATTGGATTATATATTTAAGCGGCCTGCAGCGGCGTCGGCATTTTCGGCCTCGTATTACATTTCATTTGTGTCTGTCGAGGCGACATTTACATGGGGCGTGTTAATAAGTTAATTTAATTTTTGTTGTAATTGTCAGAGCACATTTATTGTTTGGCATTTTGATCTGCCATTGCGGATGAGCTGGCCAATTTATGCAAATTTAATTGGTTGCAATTGTTGCGATTCTAAGGGGGAGGGGCTGAAACATATCAATATTCACTTGATTAGCCGTTTAAGCGATCCCCATACAATAGGGTATTATTGGGCTCTTTAAAATACAATTTGCCAAACGACTTTCAATTTAAAGAATGGGTAAATACCTAGCAGGACGAAAGGGAATCCTGAAAAAAAAAAAAACGGTTGGCAAGGTAAACCAATATAATTATTGGCAATTAATGCTGCCAAAGGAGTTTTAGGGGAAGGAACATTAATGCCATGAGCAGGACCAGCACCAAGACCCTTCTTTGCGTCGCGGCGGAGCTTCAATTAAATTTTATTTGCATAGGAAATTAACATAATTGTAGTGCAAAGTACAGACCGAAGGCAAAAAAACCGAAAGGGAAAGGAGCAGAAAAAATGGTAAAATCGGAAGAGGGAAGGTCCAAGGAAAAGCAATAAAAATAAGCAGTAAACGTGACAGCAAACGCTGGCAAAGTGTTAAAAAAAAAATATTTATGCAAATAAATAGAAATGTTTTCGGGGGCGTTACAAGGATCGCAATTAGCAAGACTATAAGGCTCTGCCCTGCGATTGAATAGGTGAATATTACGGGAACCATTATGGGGAAATACCCCATAAATCCATCCATCATATGCGCTTCATCTATTCCTCAGTTATCGAGCACTAACTAACAGAGACGGGCAACTGGTAGCCACATTAATTAAAGCACTTGATAAATTTCCCGGCAACGTGCTGCAGATACATTTAAAATTGACATTTATTGGCGCCGTCACTTGCACAACAGCCACTACTTAAATAGTGAGCGGGGAAAATAGAAGAAGGTCCTGCTGCCAGGACGAACCGAGTTAATGTCATTGAACAGCAAATCGAACTAAATTTATGACACGCCGAGAACGGTAGAGAGTATGGCAAAAAAAGGAAAAGAAAGCCGACACTCTGGCAACGTTAATGTCCTGCGAGTGTCCCCGTGCTTTTTTTTAATGTTCCTTTCTCTATGGGTGGGTGTGTGAGTGGGTGAGTCCATGTCCTTTATGCAAACAGGCGGCAAACAGACGGCCGCTGACAGCAACTACAGCCATACACACACACACACACCCTCCCGAGTAGTTCGGCGTCCACTGATGTGCAATGAATTAACTTTTCAACATATTTACTCACGCTCAATTGAAAAGGACCTCGGCGGCGTGGGTGTGACAATGTGTGTGTATGTGTGTGTGTGGGTGTCCCTACGGCAGCTACGGCATTGCCGCTAAAAGTTGAAGAACAAAACGTGGCCGCCATAATGAGGCGCTGAAGCCGATGGCCGGCTTTTGTTGCCAGACAGCTCTGTTTTTGTAGCCCCGCAAATGAGCGGAAATTAAAAACTGATTTAGCATTGGCCAAGCGAGAAGTCATTGGATTCTAAATCCGTATATGGTGGGGGATTATATGTGAGATGGGGTAAAGTAATGACTTTGCTTTTAATAAGTTGGGTAGGGGGAAAAGGGTAGGTGATTGAGAAATACTGGGGACTTAAATTTGATTCATTAAATTAAATTAACTTTATAGATTGGGAATTAAATTTTACCAGAAAATAAATAAGAAGGAATAAACCCAAGGCTATTTTTAGATATTTTTAAATGTTAATAGCTTAAAGAAACTTCATTAAAGAATTTAAGAACAAATATCCTTATATGTTCATATATGTTCCTATAAAAATAACATTTAAAAATCCAAAGTATAAATGTAACCATTACTTTTTGCCCAGCAAATAGGTAAAACAAAAAACCATACATACACAGTCTGCACAATCGCCTCTACTCAGAATCCGGACAGTGAAGCCCACTTAAAGCCACCCAACAATCGGCTGACCAGCCGCCACGTATACATTTTCCCTTCGGCTCTCAGTTTTTCTCGCTGTTTTTGTTGCGCCACCGACAAATGAAAATAAGTCAAAAAAATAGAAAATGAATTGAATTATTGCAAAGAGCAAGAGATGCTCGCTGCTCGCTCGCTCGCTGGGGAAAGGGGAGCTCGAGGGCGGCACAAACAGGAGGAGCACTTGACAGCCTCGAATGTGATAAGCAAAAGCCCGGCGCGAAATGGAAAACGCGATGGCAGCCTTTGCTTTTCTTCTTATTATGCTTCCCTTGCCCCAGCCCCCACCTCATGGGGTGTATTGCCACCCCGTCTCCTTCGCTGTCTGTGCTTTTTTATGCAGCATGCTTTTGAGCGCGACGCGAAATTATAATTCACACATGTGACCAACCGGAGGGGGAGGAGTGGGTGGCATTGGGTGCCGGGCAGCTCCTGCTCGGCCATTTGCCATTTGGACGGGGATGGGGATGGGGTATAGGGTGGACTGTAAAAAAATGCAATTGCCAAAAAGTAGCCGGCAAAAAGAAAGCGAAAACGCGAGGCAAGTCGACGTCGCCGAACGGTTGCGTTGCTTGTTTGCTTTAATTGCAAATGGCATTTTTTCCGTGGCAAATGGGGGAAGCGGATGGGCCAAGAGTGGAGGAGAAGAAGGATGGAGGACAACCACGTTACAAGCTGACCAACCACCACCCTGTTTTTGGGTAGAGAGAAACGACGAACGCTCTTGCTCTGCCGGCTCATAAATTGTCGAAAAATATTTGACTTGTTCTATTTTTGGTCACCCAACGCCCATCCAGAAAAACATTGCCTGCTGTGGCTCGGCAATATGCTTTCGTACTCAGCCCCCTGCTTTTCCGGGGCGTGGTGCAAAACGGGGCCTTGCACTTTTGCATATTTAATGCTTTGTTTAATGCAAATGCACATAATTTCATCACAGCAACGAGTGAGTGTGTGTGTGTGCGTAGTTTTCCTTCTCGAAATGTGAAAATATTTTTCAATTAATATTTATGTTGCTTTATGTGCCTGAATTGATAATTTCCCCATTGGAGACTCGAGATGGAAGCACAGATTGCTGGCTAAAACTGATTGGAAGTTGAGGCTGCAGCTTCGTAGGGACCTTAAGTTCCTTGTACAACTTTCTGTCTTTCCCTTGTGTGGCTCCCTGTTTATCTTTCCGTTTTGTTACCTCCTTTTAATACCCTGCTAAAAATCAACTGCCCATCAATCGCTCCATCAGCTCTCTAAACAAAAATAGAGGAGAACCCATCCTGTGTTTGATGTGACGCGGCGATTTCTTGCGCAATTTCCGCCGTGATGTCGATTAAGGTGGAGAGTATAAGCTGCAATTTACAGCCACCCACCGGCGGCGACAAACAAAAGCTGCAAGCTGCAGACATTGCAATTTTCCTCGATTTATATATATACAGATGTATTTCCAATCTATATACATATAACCGGCACGTGGGCATGTATCGGCTGTACACATATTATGTATAGCGCAAGTGAGGGGGATTTCCCTTATATGGACTGAGCGCAGCTGACAGTCGCATGGCGAATGAGCGAAAGAAAACAAAAACGAAACAAAACAACAGCGAAACACAAAAACCAAAACAAAAATGTGTAAAAAATGATGGAAGAGGGAGAGCTCTGCCCGTCGAATGGAAAAACGGAACAAAACAAAAACGGCAAAAGGCCTGAACTGGCCTCGTCTGGTTTGGCCTAGAGGATGGGCAAAGGTCCTGGTTGCTGCTGGTCCATCAGCAACAGCAGAAGCAGCAGCAGCAGCAGCAACATCAATGGGCGCGCCACTCAATCAACCCCACTGGGCGCTGGGGGGTGGCTTTAGGTGGCGGCATTGCCCGCTTGACAACAATGAAGGCCAAGCATTGTCCAGGACTCCCAGCAACTCAACCCCCAAAAGCCCTGTGCCTGTCCCAATTTTTTTACGTTTTTCCGTTTACTCTACTCTACTTTTTTTTTCCCCCACTTTTTGTGCCTTTAATTTTTGTGCTTTCCTCTTCGTCTCGCTTTCTTTTTTACAGCCCGGCCTCGGTCGCCTGCTACAACTTTCTGACTGCTTGGTCGCTGGTCAGCCGCAGTTATTCTTTGGGGGCGCCTGGGCACTGGACTCTGAACACTGGACACTGGTCCTCCCTGTGCCCGCTGCAGCGCAGCGGTCATCATCGAACGGGGCTCTGGTCAAATAAATGCAATTGTACGGGTGTGCCCCGAGCCACCCAACTCCTTTGGGCCGGGCATAAATCCTCAACCTGGCCACCCGTTGGAAAATAACCAACCCTCCCTCCGCCCCTTGAAAAAAGCTTCGCACTTTTGCTTGCTTTTCACTTTTGGCGGCACACTTCGTTCTTTTTTTGTTTGCCATTTCTTTGCGCCCAAAAATAAAAAGTAAAAGTTGCCCGTGCCACCACCCCCGCAACTCCCACCCAGTTCTTGGCCATCGACTTTGGGTGGTCAGCCATGAGAGGGTAATGGCTTCGGGTGGTTCTGGTTCGGGTTTTCGGCTCTGGCTCTGGGGCTGGGTGTCTGTCGCGGCATTTATTGCCGCAATGTAGCCCCAGGGAGCTGATTCGTTTGCCTCTCCGCTGCTCATTT